GTGTGTGTGTTTGTGTGTGTGTGTGTGTGTGTGTGTGTGTGTGTGTTTTATATTCGCTCTTTTGAAACATAGATGGATTGTGTGAGCATTTTTTGCGTGTTCCTTGTATTCAAATCCTTGTGGGAGAGAACAAAACCGCTCTTACGCAGATAGCAAACAGACAACAGAAGTAAAAATCACCATGACGGAGAACGAAAACCCCAGAGAAGTAATTAACAAGGAGATAACTAATCAGCGATAGAGTTACAAAGGGAGATGACGCACTAAACATTCCATACATTTTTCTTGAGCATCGGATAGTCTCCCTTACCTCATTGTTCATGACACAGTAGAGCAGGCAGACGAATATGCCCTGGAAAAGAACAAGACAATTTCGATGTTAAAATGTGAAGGAAAAAAAAGAGAGGTGTGCTGACAAAATGAGTTACTTCTTTTGAATTTTAGCCGCATGGAAATTGATACATCAATTTGATAGTTGGGGTTTGTACAATTTGTAAGTGTGGAATAATAAAAGACACGGTAGACTTCCTCAAAATGGTATCAACTGAAAATCTATAAATCTGACCCCAGTGTAGATTTTCGACCGATATCTCCATTCTTGGATCGCAAGAAGTACCTCCTTTTGTCAGCACGCCTCCCAAATTAAAAGATCAATCATCACTATTAGGTTGTTTAAGAGGCGGGACCTCCCGAGTTTAACGTCCATATCCGAAAGGGCCGAGCCAAAAGAGAATTTCGTGTAAAGTGTTTCCTTTCCCAAGGACAAAACGTCGGACAGAGCTGAGGCTCGAACCCCTGCAACCTCACGATTACAAGTCCTGTAGCCTAAATAAAAATGTTAAAGAAAATTGGGTCTTTTAAATTGTATATTAAGAGAAATGCAGACTTCAATTTAAAAAAGAAAGGCCAAAATAAAATAAAATAAAATAAAACCCCCCAAAAATCCAAAACCAAAAAACACCAATAACAAAAAAATCGAAACGACATCCAGTAATGAAATTGTAGCAATAAGGCGGCCTTTCATTGCAACATCCCAGTCTTGCACATAACTACTGCCTCTTATCTTTGCTCAGGAAATATCAAACTAATAAGCAAAACTCTAAATATAAATGCTTTAAACAGATCTGTAATAGACGTGAGACAGACCACTAATTTTCATTTCGCATCTCCTGTCATTTCTCTGCAACTACTCTTCCATGTTCTAAAAATGTCACTGGCAACCCCCAATCTCTTATCAAGCATTCTATATTCTATTTCTATTTTGCCTGATTTAGCTGCCCTCCCACTTCTTTTCGTTGGGCTTTTTGTCCTGTGCTATATTCGTTCAGTATTGATTCTTGTTGGTTCAGGATCAGTGAGCTAGCTCCGTGGCTTTACAGTTAGAGAATCGTTTCTCCTTAGTTTGTTTTGGGTATCAATTCTTACTCATTGTTAGGGCAATGTTTACCGTATAGTATTAAGTCTTACTTACACAACACCGATGATGCATACACATACTAACTGGGCATTAATTGGCGATATATGGTTATATTCACGAAGACCGGTGCGCCCCAAGGCTGTGTAATCTCCCCTGTCTTGTTTACGCTCTTCACCAACGACTGTGCTTTTGATAACAAAAACATCAAACTAATACAATTTGCGGATCATTCCACTATACAAGGCCCTATGACAAAAATTGAGAATAAATATAAAAGGACGCTGTAAATGTATTTACAAATGGTGTTATAACCACTTCCTTTTACTAACTGTAAAAACGACAAAGATGTTAATTATAGACTTTAGAGTTTAAAAAAACCCAATTGCAACCACTATTTATAAAAGATGAGAAGGTGGAGGTGGCAAGCTCTCACAAACGACTACAAAGCTTGACTGGCACCCCCACGCTGCTCTTGTGCATAAAAAAGTAAATCAAAGAAGGTTCCTATAAAGGAAGTTAAGATTATGACCCTTTTATACCATCCTATGATTGAAAGCGTGCTATTATTTTGTACTTGCTGCTGGGCTGGGAATTAGAGGGTGAAAGATAAAGAAAACTTTGACAGAACCATTAAGCAAGTCAGCAAGATCTCTGGATATGATTTTATTAGAATGGATGAAATGTATTAAACCACAAGTATTAATAAGATAAAAAGCGTTATAAACGACCCATCACACCCCATTCCAGGCAAATTGTAAGATCACCAGCGGCAGATATGTACCCCTAAAAACAAAAAACAAAAAGAATGATATAAAAGAAGTTTTATTCTACCATCTAGGATAAGGCTATTATTGTCAGAATAAGCATCAATGTGTATTGCTCTTTCAAGTAAGTATGTACATAACTCTAAAGGTCTTTTAATTAAATTCCTGCATATGATTGACTGATGCATCTGATGAGATAATTACTTTTTGTCAGCTTTACTTCTATTCTCATATTGAATTTTAATGAGAGTAATATGTAATTCAAATTTTTATGTATATTTGCATATTGTGTTTTTACAGTCCTGTACAACCAAGAAAATGGTCTTATCTTATCTTATCTTATCTTATCTTATCTTATCTTATCTTATCTTAATCTGTTCGTCCTACACTTTCTCCATACTTTGTCGTGCGGCCCTAGTCTATGATGCTGTAAACTATTTATTCGTCCTTTTCTCCCCCCCCCTCCCCTTTCTTTGCATCTAACTCTCTTGTAACATCGCTAATCTTGATGGATTATTTGTCTTGCAAGAGCAGTAAAATTCCGACTCAGACTCGGGAGTCGGTGAAATAAAAAAAAATGTTTTGCATGTAATTATCTTGTAGCACCTCTAATATTGGACATGTATAACATTGCGACTTATTTGTGTTGCAAGAGCCATAAAACTCCTGTCTTTGCACGCAACTCTATTGTAACACCTCTAATCTTGGACATGTATATTGTGACTTATTTGTAAGTGTGGCAAGTGCCGTAAAACTCCGACTCAGACTCGGACACGAGAGTCGGTGCAAACAAAAAAAGTCCAACTCACCTGACAGGGCGGCAGTATGGCGTTGATGTAGCGGTACGCCACGATGGCGTAGGATCGCTCGTCCGGACGCAGGAAAAACATGAGGTTAATGATGCCCAGGAGGAAGACCAGGACAATGGTAGACTTCATCGCCCGGCTGTTGGTGCAAAGTGGGGGGGGGGGAAGAAGAGTTTTAAGATTTAAGATTTCAAAATGAGAGTGAGAGAGAGAGAGAGAGAGAGAGAGAGAGAGAGAGAGAGAGAGAGAGAGTTTTCAGATTTAAGATTTCAGAATGGTTTATTGATTTGAAAGGCCTTTGGCCCTTACATCCGCATATTTCAACATAATATTATACATGTATTGCTTTTCAATGACATACATTGGTGCAGCACATCGGATATTTAAAATACATTGGGAGAGAGAGAGAGAGAGAGAGAGAGAAAGAGAGTTTCCCTCTTAGTAGTTCCACAAAAGGTAGTTTTTTTCTTCGTCTAATATTGGGGAAAAAACACAGCCGAATCCCCCCCCC